ATCTACCCCAGTGGACTAAATAAATAGTTCGATTCGAAATTCCAACGTATATGACCTGAGGAAGGACGAAGTGCACAACGGCCTGAGAGTTGTGAATATGACAATAAACATGAGAACAACAGTCCGAACAATGTAAATAGTGTAAATAATTGCAATTACCTCATCTCAGATATATAGACTGATCCTGAAGAAAGCGCGGTGCGTATAACGTCTGAAACGTCGTGAATATGACAATAAACTTGGAGACAACAGTCCGAACAATGTAAATAGTGTAAAATGTTACAATATCTCATCTCGGAAATATAGACAGATCATAAAGAAGGCTGGAGCGTACAATGGTCGAAACATCGTTAATGTGACAATAAAGATCAGGACAACTGCCCGTACAATGTAAATAGAGTAGTTACAATATCTCATCTCAGAAATATAGATAGATCCTGAAGAAGGCTGAAACGTACAATGGTTGAAACGTCGTGAATGTGAAAATAAAGATCAGGACAACTGCCCGTGCAATGTAAATCTCAGAAATATAGATAGATCCTGAAGAAGGCATGAGTGTACAATAGCCGAAACGTCGTGAATATGGCAGTAAAGATGGGGACAACAGTCGGAAAAAATATAAATAATGTAAATAATTACAATACCTCATCTCAGAAATATAGACAGATCCGGAAGAAGGCCGAAGCGTATAACGTCCGAAACGTTTTGAATATGACAATAAAAATGAGGACAACAGTCTGAACGATGTAAATAGTGTAAATAGTTACAATACCTCATCTCGGGAATACAGACAGTTCCTGAAGAAGGCCGAAACGTACAATTGTTGAAACGTCATGAATATGACAATAAAGATGAGGACAACTGCCCGTACAATGTAAATAGCATAAATAGTTAAAATATTTCATCCCAGACAGATATATATATATACAGATGATGAAGAAGGCCGGAGCATACAACGGTCAAAACGTCGTGAATATGACAATAAAAATGAGGACAACAGCGCGACTAATATAAATCTAGTACATAGTTACAACGGCTTATCTCAGAAATATAGGAAAATGTTATCTTCTAGCTGCTTAATTACTTCTCTTTTATTGTTCTGTAACCTCTTTCCTTTCAGTGGCTTTATTGCCTTGCTGGGGGTGAAATGATCAGAAATATAAATAGAAAATAAAATCAATACCGTACGAAAAAGTATTTGCTCTGATATATTAGGTTAGCGAAAGAACAGCAATTCAAGTTCCAATCCAACGATTCTTGCGTCAGCCAATAGAAAATAGAGCATGCTCAAGTCAAGTGCTACTCATTGAAATTTCTTTCAATCGAATCAGTGTTCCATACTCGATGTGGTTTTGCTATACACTTAAGTTATAATCAATATTGAGACTTCACATGCCCTAAAATATACAATATCCGTGATTTATATATTGGAGTGGTGGATAGCAACATGAATTGAGGAATCGGAGAGCCGAGTTCGAATTCCAGTCCTCTTCTTCTCCCTCCAGCTATCGGTAAATAGGGGTTCTATAGTCACGGATAGCTACTGGTTTTGGAGAAGTACAACTCCGAATTCAAAACATGAGGAGGGTCGTTTGGGGACCTTTGTGACACATGGTGCATCAGGTCTCTGTATTCGGCTCTTTAAAGAGTGGGGTTCGTTCTGCACAAAACGTTCATCACTAGAATCAAATAATATATATATATATATATATATATATATATTAAGAAATGGACAAAGTCCGACAATTTATTTATTAAAGACATTTTTATTTTTAACGTTCTTTTTTTATAGATACAAGTATTTAACTAAATGCTCTGTTTATAATAAACAGTATTAAATAACATTTACCGGCCTGAATGTCCGAGAAATTGTCATAGAAAATATTCGCCCTTTGACAGGATTCGAACCTACATCCTATACGGAACCGTCATTTACGCTGACGTGCCTTGACCGCTCGGCCACAAAGGAGCGTTCGGCAGGCAAGGTCGAATTTACTGCTTATAAACTTCAATCTTCCATTAATCTCGTACATTCATAACTGCTCATGGCGCATCAAATGTAAACAAATGACGTCATATATTAAGAAATGGACAAAGTCCGACAATTTATTTATCAAAGACATTTTTATGTTTAACGTTCTTTTTTATAGACACAAGTATTTAATTAAATGCTTTGTTTATAATAAACAGTATTAAATAACATTTACCGGCCTGAATGTCCGAGAAATTTTCATAGAAAATATTCCGTATAGGATGCAGGTTCGAATCCTTAGTCTTCTGGCGACGATTCGATCTTGGCTGCCTTATGATCAAACTTAAATCACAACGTGGGATAAGGTTAGCTCTGGATTGAAACGGTCATTTCACCGACCAGCCCAACACGAAGATACTGGCGACGATTCGATCTTGGCTGCCTTATGATCAAACTTAAATCACAACGTGGGATAAGGTTAGCTCTGGATTGAAACGGTCATTTCACCGACCAGCCCAACACGAAGATACTGGCGACGATTCGATCTTGGTTGCCTTATGATCAAACTTAAATCTCAACGTGGGATAAGGTTAGCTCTGGATTGAAACGGTCATTTTAGCGACCAGCCCAACACGAAGATACTGACGACGATTCGATCTTGGCTGCCTTATGATCAAACTTAAATCACAACGTGGGATAAGGTTACCTCTGGATTGAAACGGTCATTTCCACGATCAGCCTAACAGGAAGATACCGGCGACGATTCGATCTAGGCTGTCTTATGATCACACTTAAATCTCAACGTGGGATAAGGTTACCTCTGGATTGAAGCGGTCACTTTAGCGAATAGCCGTGGTGTTTGATGTCTTGGACGACCGGGGAGGTTGTTGTATGATTACAATTTAACCTAAAGCTCTTTTTTTTTTTATCGTAAACAAGAATTTTGGAGCTTCATCCCTGGCACTTCGACCGGATGAATTTAAGCGATTGTCAATGAGGACTCATCATTTTCTTGTTGAAATACATAGCTGTAACCGTTTATTTACATTATTCGGACTATTGTCCTCATCATTGTTGCCATATTTACCACAACGTTTCAACCGTTGTACGCTCCGGCCTTCTTCAGGTGGTTGGAATTTCGAACTGACGTCTTTATTTCGCTCACTGGGGTAGACTGTTCTACTGTTCCACGTGCCATGTTTGATGGATGTCAGTTAGCAGTCATCTCCTGCTAATTTCCCTCTGAAAGTCTCCACTGCCTTAACCGGGTATTGAACTCACACTCTTTGGGTCCTGTCACTGGATCTAAACAATGCCTTTATCCACTATGCCATGTGTCCTTGAATACCTCATCACAGAAATATAGACAGACAGCTGTAACCGTATGTAGTGTTGTAAGAGTTAATTTTCTCGTACTTCTTGTCTGTGGAACTCTCTTCTTGCTCCCCTGCCACCTACGATCTAAAAAAAAAAAAATACAACTTCAATCTCCACCTTCTGTCTTCCTGAAATCCGTTCTTTTGTAATCCTTTCTCCTCACTACCGTTTTCTTAGTTTCATTCACTTCTTGCGTCTTATTGGTATTATCGCTTTTCTTGGGAGCGAAACGATAAAAAAAACTGCTATCAGTCATTCATTCCTTAGAAGGATGGCAAAGTGATATTTCTGATCTAAAAAAATAACCAACAAAATAATAATTGTAACGTCAACATTACAAGTTGTCCTTGAAGCGATTCGTTGTCTCAAGACTGGACTCAACGGCCATATTGAACAGATCGAATGGAAACGACATGGCGGAGATACGAAGTGCTCACAACCCGAGGTAATTTTACACTGAGATTCAACTGCTTGGTAAAAGCAGGCAAAAAATGCTACGAAATAGAGAATAGGAAATTTATGAACAAATAATGAAGATGTCATTAAATTTTTGTCGTTGACAGGATGTTTTTATTTTTCTATTAATAATAATAAATACGATTTGTTTGAGAAAGTATTCTTTTCTCATGTGTTCATTCACATATTGACTGGTTTCAAATAACCGCCTGCTTCCTTTGATTTTGAGTTCAAGCATATTTTTAACCGCCAGCTAATTTTTCATTCATTACGTCTTTCTTTATTTCATACTTTCTCTGTTTCCATATTTAGTTTCTTATTTCCAAATCTTAAACCTGTTTTAGATTTCTTTCTTTCTTTATTTATTTTAAACTTTCTTCCTTTCTTTCTTTTAATCTTTCTTTCTATCTTTTTGTCTATCTGGTTCTTTCTTTTAATCTCTCTTTCTTTCTTTTAATCTTTCTTTCTATCTTTTTGTCTATCTGTTTCTTTCTTTTAATCTCTCTTTCTTTCTTTTAATCTTTCTTTTAATCTTTCTTTTTTCTTTTAATCTTTCTTTTTTTAATCTTTCTTTCTTTCTTTTAATCTTTCTTCCTTTCTTTTAATCTTTCTTTCTTTCTTTCTTTCTTCCTTTTAACCTTTCTTTCTTTCTTTCTTTCCGTCTGTTTCTTTCTTTCTTTCTTTTAATCTTTCTTTCTTTCTTCTAATCTTACTTTCTTTCCTTCTTTCTGTCTGTCTGTTTCTTTCTTTCTTTCTATCAATCTTTCTTTCTTTCTTTCTTCATTTCTTTCTTTTAATCTTTCTTTTTTCTTTTAAACTTTCTTTCTTTCTTTTAGTCTTTCTTTCTGTCTGTATGTTTCTTTCCTTTTTTCTTTTAATCTTTCTTTCTTTCTTTTAATCTTACTTTCTTTTAATCTTTCTTTCTTTCTATCTGTTTTTTCTTTCCTTCTTTCTTTCTTTCTTTCTTTCTTTCTTCTATTATTTCCTTTCCCAATATTCTTTTTCTTTCTTTGATTCTTTCCGTCTTTCTGTCTATCTGTCTTTCTTTTTCCCTCCTTCCTTTCTTTTTTTATTTTTCATTTCTTTCTTTCTTTCTCTCTCATTTCCCAATCTTCATTTCGTTCTTTCTTTCTTTCTTTCTTTCTTTATATTTTTTATTTTATTTTGTCTTTTTTCTTTTGTTCAATCTATACACATGTCTGCCCCTATCCATCTATCTATCTATCTATCTATCTATCTATCTATCTATCTATCTATCTATCTATCTATATATATATATATATATATATATGTGTGTGTGTGTGTGTGTGTATTTTACTATCTATGTCTCTATATGCATGTTCATATATATCAATCTAGTTAACTGGCTATCTGTCTGTCTGTCTCTCTTTATCTATCTATTTCAATGTGTTCATATTTCTCTATCAATCTGCATGGGTTTGTTCAGATATACCTACATATACTTTATCATATCTATCTATCTATCTATCTATCTATCTATCTATCTATCTATCTATCTATTATTATTATTATTATTATTATTATTATTATTATTATTATTATACCATTTCATTTTTTCTTAGCACCGTCCTCACAATCACAGAGTCAAAATCATAATATACTTTTAAAATACCCAATATTTTTTCCGTATTTCATTCGGGTTTTATTCTCACTCTGTCATTCATTCAATGTTATATTGGCTTTCATTTCATCTCGCTTCTTGTCTTCTTTCTTTCTTTTTCTTTCCTTCCTTCATTGATTCACTGAATTTCCTTTTTTTAGGGATTTTTTCTTTTTCTCTTTTATACCTTTGCTTTTTCTTTCTTTCTTTCTTTCTTTCTTTTCTTTCTTTTCTTTCTTGAATCGACCTTATTTGTTCCTTCCTTTCTTTCATTCCTTTTTAAACCTTTGATTTTCTTTCTTTCTTTTTTACTTCCGTTCTGTTTTAAATCCTCTGATTCGTTTCTTTCTTTCTTTCTTTCTTTTTTCATTTTTTCTTTCTTTCTTTCTTTCTTTTGACTACAGCTTTCTTTCTTTTTTCTTTCTTTCTTTCTTTCTATCACCATATTTTCTTTCTTTCTTCGTTTCTTTCTTTCTTTCTTTCTTTCTTTCTTTCTTTCTATCACCATATTTTCTTTCTTTCTTCGTTTCTTTCTTTCTTTCTTTCTATCACCATATTTTCTTTCTTTCTTTCTTTCTTTCTTTCTTCGTTTCTTTCTTTCTTTCTTACTTTCTTTTGACTACAGATTTCTTTCTTTCTATCACCATATTTCCTTTCTTTCTTTCTTCGTTTCTTTCGTTCTTTCTATCACCATATTTTCTTTTTTCTTTCTTTCTTTCTTTCTTTCTATCACCATATTTTCTTTCTTTCTTTCTTTCTTTCTTTCTTTCTTTTGACTACAGCTTTCTTTCTTTCTTTCTTTCTTTCTATCACCATATTTTCTTTCTTTCCTCGTTTCTTTCTTTCTTTCTATCACCATATT